GCAGGAATGTTAGCTTTTCATTTCCTCTGTGTTTGAGTAGCAGGAGGGGTAAACCTGTTCATCTGCATATGATAAAGCTGTGCCTTTATTTGCATCTTCCTTTTTTAAAGGGAGGGCTCAGGTTGATGCAGGAGTCTAGAGCCTGAATTTGGCTCCAGAGGAGTGAAAATGGGCTGATTTATCAGCATCTCTAGGCTGGTGGGATGCAGAGGTTTGTTCGCCAGCTGTTCATCAGCACAGAGCGTTGTTTCAGCAGTTTGGGAGAGTTCATGGAGGATGTTGTTCTACACAAGAGAGTTTGAACAACATGCCTGAAATCTCATCGTGGCTATGTGATATCCCAGCTTCTTCTTTTCTGTGCCTTTTGTTCCTCTTACTCTGGAAGGTCTGGTTCCTGGCAAGGCAAGGGACCTGCTTTTCCCTCAGATCTGCTGACTGAACGTCAGGTTCATCTTTTCCCAGTTTGTTTCCCCTCGCTTTGCGGTGTCGAGTGACTGCTACTCGCCTGGATATCAGTGGTGGATACTTCGCTTTTCTGAAATCTGCAATTAATGGAGCAGTTTTTACGCACACAGAAAACAACAAGAACGTGCCAGGAATTTCAGAGGTGCTTTTGGTTGTGAAAAACCTGGTCCCATCCCAAATGAGATGACGTGCAGCCCACTGCATTGCTCTGTTCCTTTCAAAAGAGGTGAGAATAAGGAAGGTGATTTTGAGGAAGAGTTGGAATTGTCAGTACTACACAGGTATCAAATACCTGCTTTGTGCAGGCCTAAGGCAACAAGAAGTCATGGGAACTCTTAGTCTGCACAGCAGCAAGTGTCTTGGATGGTCTGCTTTGCCTAAGCAAAAGAGAAAATTACTCTTAAAATGAGTTGGTCAGAATGCAGTGACATCCCACGTGGGGCTTTTTTTTTGTTTAGAACCAAAATGACATTTTAATTTCTTTATGAGTGAAGCCCATTTTACTGGATAAGTATATCCAAATTGGATGATAATGTCATTTAGCTAATCCACATTAGTTTAGGAAAATGATACCACATCTATTTTTCACTTTCTCAGATATCCCTGCGTTGATGTATCCTCCACTTTAGGACTCTGCTCATCTCACTACATGTTCCCTTTGCTTTGCTGTTACTGCGCAGAGTCTCTCCAGCTGGGGTGTGTTTGATGGGCTGGCTCTACACAGTACACGTTTATTCTCTTCTCCTTTAGTTCTGCCTCTTGTAACAACAAAGCAGAAAACCAGAATTGCTCATTACAGCAAAGGCACCTCCCTAATAATGAATCTGAGACCAGTCACCACAAGTGATGGTAATGTGTGTGTTTGTGGCTGACCACGGCTGCTGCTCGAATATTTTAGCTGCGCTTTTTTCACTGGAGATACCTGATGGGAGATACTGAGGCCTTCAGCAGACACTGAGGCCCAAACCCATAGCAAAAACAAAGGTTCCAGTACTCTTCAGCTGCTGAGCAAAGCCTGCTAATTAGGAGCATTAGCAAGCTGGTACCCTCTTATGCAGTCTGACCATGCAGAAGGACAGAAACTCCTTCTCTACCCTTTGGCTGATGTGTACCATGTTTTATTTATAGTCTTGGACATCTAGGTAGTGTTCATTTTTCATGTGCTTCTGTTTTCTCTGTTAGGTTATGGAAGATCTTTTCAAGACAGCAACAAGCACTGTGCTCTCCAAATGTCCTCGTGATGTTGAGCTTTTTCATAAATACGTAGCTCCTGCCCAGAAGGTAATAAATGTGACAGGAAAGAGCTGCAATCCTGATGTGCATTTTGAGAGCTCTTGGCTATAGAGACATTTAATTTTTTTTTCTTCCCTGTGTTCTCCTATGTTAATGAATTATGAACAGCTAAAAGTTGTCCTGGTCTTAAGTTATTGTTCAGGCCAAGACAGAGAGGACACAGCTTTCAGTAGCTGGTAGCAAGTGTGGTAGAACTGTAGCTGTCACATCATCAGCTCCAAAAGTTGGGTACCTTTTTAACACTGAATGGCCGAGAGTGGATTTTGAGCTGTACCTAGATCACAGTGCAGACCTACAAATCAAAATTTAGTGGGAGGCAGCTTTTCTGAGTCCTCTGGGCCCCTGAACCCTTAAGAGTAGCTTTACATTTATGTTTTTTCTTGTATTGCACAAGGACAGGTTGGAAGACACACTGAAGAACAAATTTGTGACGTAAGTGCTTTTATTTCTAAGTGATCTGGAAGCGGGCTTTTGGGGAAAAGGTTCCTATTTTGTGTATGTTCCTTTCCCAATTCAGACTCTTCTGGGTTAGCATAATGTCTCTGTAAAAGCATGAATTTCAGTTCCCTTTGTACTGCTTGCCAGTTGCCCTTTCATCTCTGCATGAGACTGGCATCTGAAGCTGCTGGCCTTCGGTTTTGCTTCACTGGACAAGATCCTCTTTCTGTCAGAGTGTCCTCCTTCCAGCATGTGCCTGTGCAGTGGTTTGCTCGCCGTCTTGCTTGGTTTTGGCTTTGGTGCTCTGCCTTCCTTCACGCTTTCACTCCAACAGCTCCCTCTTTATGAAACTCATTTTTGATATTTAAAAATACCAATTGGTCTTCTGTTCTGGTTGCTTGTGCAACTGCTTTTCCCAGTTCTCTGCTTGCTAAAGAACTGAAGGGTTTTGATTTCACAGAATCTTAGAATTGTTTTGGTTGGAAAAGACCTTTAAGATCATCGAGTCCAACCATCAGCCCAGCACTGCCAAGTTCACCCTAAACCATGTCCCTAAACAAGACATCAACTCACCTCTTAAATCCCTCCTGGGATGGTGACTCCACCAACTCCCTGGGCAGCCCATTCCAATGTCTGACAGCCCTTTCAGGGAAGAAGTTTTTCCTAATATTCAATCTAAACCTCCCCTGGTGAACAGTCCCAACAGGGTCCTTTTCCACCAGGCAGCTTTCCAGCCCTCGTCCCCAAGACTGGAGTGTTGGAGGGGGTTGTTGTGACCCAAGGGCAGGACCCGGCACTTGGCCTTGTTGAACCTCATACAGTTAGTCCCTGAATTTCCCTCGTGTCCCCCAAGATTATCTCCTCTTTCCTACCCTTGCCTGTCTCTTCAAATAGTGGTGGTCTCCATTCATCCCACAGAACACTGTTGGGCTGCTCAGCCCAGCACTGTTTTCCTGGTAAGCAGCTACAGCCAGGCTTGGGCAACAGGATTGTTCATGATAAATCCTGCCTGTGCCTGCATGGACACCATGGGAGACCTCAGTGAAGTCACTCTCCCCATTTCAGTCCTTCTATCTTTGCACATAACTGATACTCCTTGGAGGACAGAGTTGCACTCATGTTCTCCCATGGTCCAAGGTAAAAAGGAAGTGAGTCAGCTCCTCTCTTGTCTCCCTCTGTTTCTTAGTTCATTGATCGCTGGTAGATCGGGGGCATGCCTGGCTTACACACACGTGTTACGTGCGCTGAACCTGTGCCAGTGCTAGATCTCATTTGGACCATGGCCTTTGCATAACCCAAACACATGGAGCAATATATTCCTTGCGGAGATACTTCCTCCAGAAGTCTTCCCTGTATTAGTCAAACCTTGTAGCTGGGTGTAAAGAGCTCATACTCCTTAGGGAATATGGTTTATAATTGGACAAGGGGTAACAGGTTTTAATTGAAAGTGGGGAGATTTAGATTGCACATCAGGAAAAGTTCATCCTGCAGAGGGGGGTGAAGCACTGGGACAGGTTGCCCAGAGAAGCTGTGGATGCCCCATCCCTGGAAGTGTTCAAGGTCAGGCTGGATGAGGCTTGGAGCAAGCTGGTCTAGTGGAAGGTGTCCCTGCCCGTGGCAGGGGGGGTTGGAACTGGATGGTCTTTAAGGTCCCTTCCAACCCAAACTGTTCTATGATTCTGTGATAATTGGATTTAGCCAATGATACAGAGAGATGAAATTATTGTGATCGGGTTATTATTTCTTCATTCTGTCCACAGCATTTGCTTGGTATGTGGAAAACTTGTCAGCAAATTGATCTTTCATTGAGCCTTGATTTCCAGTTACCAAACCTGTAGCATCTTTCACTGCACTTCTGCTTGCTCTGCCGTGATGCTGTTCTTTTGTACTGGCAGAAGTCGGTGGAAAATCTGCTCTCAGTTCTGTCAGAAGAGTAGAGAAACATTGCTGCAAATAAATCTCAACGATTTTTGCAAAGTAGAATGAAAAGGTGTGAGCTACAGGCCTTTTGCCCTCTGGGCTGTTATTTTTGCCTAACACCATCCGGAACAGTGGTGCTGTGTTGTTGGAGCGATGTCCATGAGGGCACATTGCTTTCTTTAAAATAAATCCACAGGTTTCTGTGAAGCAGTTCTGTGCAGAGCACAGTTCTGACTGCAACTCATCATTGCAATACCACCAAAGTGTCTTGAGAGCATAGCGCTTCCTGCCCTGCGTGTAGCTGAAGCACAGGAAAGCTTAGGGTTCTTGCCATAGAGAAGGGTTTTTGGTTTCTCTCCAAAGAAGCATTGCTGGGAAGTCTGACATCACAGCACAAGTTGGCATGGTGGTGGGGAAATGCCTCCTTAATTTTCCAGTGTGGCACTTCACCAGAAAACTTTCTTGTTATTCCTGTCATAGTTTTCTTAAAGACTTTTTTTTTTCCCCCCAGGATTTCCTACAATGAAGCAGTGGAAATTTTGAAGCAAGCTTCTCAAACTTTCACTTTCAAGCCAGAGGTAGGTAATTGCCTGGTGGCTTGTCCCGGTGCCTGTTCATGCGCACAGCCAGCCTGACCTTTGTAGATCTCCTTTCTTTCAGATACCACGAGAGTTGTTACTTCCCACAGGTTATCCATCTCCTGGGGCGTTTGCTCAGTTGTAACCCAATTATAACTTGCCCTTTGGGAGTGAAAAGGGAACAGTGTGAGGAGTGAGCACTGGACCAGAACATGTAATGCTTGCAGGAAAGGAAGTGATGAGTTTATTGTTGAAAGACCAAGGCTCTGGCAAAAGCGCTTCTCTGTCCTGTATGCAGGTAGTGCCGAGTGTGTTGTGGATCCAGTAACAGTCATCTAAGGAGGGTTGCTGTAATAGTCCTCAAATAAAGGAATTATATTAGGACAGCACCAAAAGTTTGACAAGGACTAATGAGCCAAAACCATGTCAAAATAACATGTAATCTAGATGTAGATGAAAAGAATCCCTTGTCTTTCCAAAGCATAGGTGCTGACTGGAAAAAAGAATCACATGCTAATCTTTCTAACTCTGTTAGATTATGGTTTTCTAAAAATCATATTTTGCCAAATTTCACACACACACACACACACACAGTAGGAAGAGCATTTGTGGTGATGCTCATCTTGTGTATATTGATGAATCTTAATCTCATTCTGATGCTTTCAGGAAAATAACCCTCTGGCCAAGCCTCCTTCGTAGCCAGTTGGGTAACAATCTGCGTACAGGTGGGTGTAGAACCTCAAATCCTGTACCTACTACCTTGATCTGAGACAGCAAGCTCAGGATATTTTCAGATGAGGAGAGTCTGCAGAATACCTGTTCCACTCTTCCCCTTCCACTCCCCCGATATTCTTTGCACGTTCTATAGTGGGCTGAAGGTCTCTAGTCAAAAGCCAGAGAATTTATAACAGCACTGGAAGAAAGGAGAAGTGAAGGGCATTGCAAATAGCCAGGGTTTCTGATAACAAAGAATTGGTTGATAGGATGCTGGGTTTTCTTAAATGAGAAATAATGTAGCATGTAAGAGGATACAGCAGGGAAGAGAGAAATCAGCCTAGCAAAGGTCCTTTCTGTATACCAAAGGTGATGCTGAAATAAGGCTGATTTGCTGGGTTGAATAAACTGATTTTGGATAGGTGCCTAGTCCCCTTAAGCTATGTGGAGATTTTGGGGTGTTTTTTTTATTTGTTTGGGGGTTTTTATGTTTTGATACCAGATGCCAGGGCTCAATGCAAGGATGTTCCCCTGTTCTGTGGAATTTAAATCATATTATTTTCATTGCTTGGCTGTGCCTTAAAAGTCATTGAACTCTTATCTGCTTAGCAAATTTTCCCAGTGGCCCCTGTGAGAAGTTGCTGTGCTTGGTTTCATGTTTTTCACAGCTGCACATCCCTCCTACACAGGGATTTTGCTGTGTCTCTTGCCATAGACAAGATGCACCAAATCAGGATCCCAGGTTCCTTTTGCTGTCTTTACAGTGGGGCTGTGACTTCCAAACAGAACATGAAAAGTACCTGGTGAAGCACTGTGGTGAGGTTCCCGTGTTTGTGATTAACTACCCATACGACCTCAAACCTTTCTACATGCGGGACAATGAAGATGGACCTCAACACACGGTGAGTCCATGGGTCAGACTTCCACCTCCTTTTTGGCTAGCCATGTGTCTTTAGTCTGCTGATAGATGGATGAGGATAGTCCTCTGCTGGGCCTACACTCAAAAAGTCCAAGATGAGACATGACCATTTGGTAATTCTGTCCAGTCTTTTTCCATTGTGGAAGTTGGCCCCAAAGCAGGAAAAACAGGAGGAGGAAGATTCAAGAGTTGGATGGTGTTAAGTCTTTGCTGAGGTCCCTGAAGATGGGTTTACCATAGTTTCTTTTCCTGGTAAACTTCCATACTACTAGGTGAAATGCCTAGAATTGCATGCCTCCAAGCAGTCCATGATTCTCTTGTCATCCAAACGAAACATAATCCATTTCAGCCCAGAAAGCAAATCATATCCTGGGCTGTATCAGGAGAATGTGGTCAGGAAGTCGAGGGAGAGGATTCTCCCCCTGTACTCTGCTCTTGTGAGACCCCACCTGGAGTACTGTGTGCACCAGCGGCG